AGCCCACACCACAGCTATAACGATAAAGGCACAGAGAAACGATATCGTTGGAATCACTTTTTTCCCAGCTGATGAACAATAAAAATATTGACACACAATCAGTATCAATCCTGCTATAACGAGCTTGAGAATTTAAAGCGGCAGACGAGTGTGCGCTTAGAATAAACAGACGATATTGCCCGTTGGTGTGGACGCTAATATAGCCTAGTTATCTTTATAGTTTTCGTTCTTGGTGTGAACGGTCCATTAGAGTCTTACTTTTGACTGCCGCCAAATATGCCTTGAAGTCTTTCTGCAATTTGCTGCCATCAGCCTGTGATATAGAGATCAGAGAGAGAAGAAACCATCACTAGATATTTAAGAACTACGAAAAGGGTCAGAGGTCAAATGTCAAGGCAAGCAGTATATTACTCTTACCAGCTGCTTGTTGAATTTGGCCACTTCCTCCTCAAATGCTGTGTCTTTCGTTTCATCCGCCTTTCCCAACTTCTGCAACACCTATCAGAGAGCAACGCAAAGCAGCCGACATCATACATACTCTAACATACAAACACATACTGGTACAAAACATCTGCATTACTGGTGTGTAAGCCAGCCTTTGTGTTTGTGTGGACCAAGGCAAGAATTTGAAAATATCATAACCTAAAAATGTCAAATGTAACAAGTGGTTTTTCTTTGTAAACGAAAGCGCTAAAAAAAATTTGAATTAATGTAAAGAAACAAACAAAGAAATATGTATAAAAGTGAGTATAATATATTTTGTGAAAAGACTGGTTTAGTTGCATCATGCCCCTCATAATCAACTTTAATAACATTGAACTTATCACACTGTATCTGGTTAGAACTGCGTGAAAACCATAAACAGCCTACAGTCAACATGTCTTAAACAGATGCGACGTGACAAAGTAACAAGCAAAGAAAGTTATCCGTACCATATTTATCTGAATTTCTGTCAAGCTAATTAACTTGTTTATTGTGATTAACAGTAGTGATAATAAATCAAATGATTTATTATTATTATTATACATTGCTCTCAGGTTTAACCACATCCTATAATTGTGATAAAATCATCAGCATGACATTATTGCTTTAATAAATTCTTCAGCAGCTGTCAGACATTTTACATGGACTTTTTGATTAATTCATCTGATTAACAATTTTTTAATGCCTTTTTCATTTTAAACAAATTAAAAACGCAATCTTAAGAGTGTAGATGTGTATGTGTGTCTTAAAAAGGTGGCAAGAAATAGGATCTTAGATCCCCGGCCAACACAAATGGTGCTTTCAGTATCGGTTCCATGTTCTTCTTCCCCATGAAGAACGCTGACATACAGTAACTGTTCATAAAAAATGAAACTTATTCAAAGAGGCTTATGACGAGTTCTCATTAACTGAACTTTCTTGCCACACACACATACAAACACCTGCCAAAAGTTCAAAGCACAATGTCCTTTTATTCCATAGGATGTTTCCATTATACAACTATTTCCTAGCCGATTTAATTATGCACATTTCCTTTAGTTCAGATTGCCCTACTTCCTGACCATCATGTATGAGGTAGTGCATGGTTCTATTTATTCAGAGGTCATTTCCTTTTCCTTCTGCTCCCCCATATCACTTCTCGCAGCATATTAATCATGCCATGCCATTTGTGACACAGAGATATTGGTTTCCTTCAGCTTGACACAGGCAACAGAATAGCACATCCTGTGAAGTCCCTTTCATAATGTCAAAAGGATTCAAGATGAAAGGATGAAGTTTATAGGATGGTGCATCCCTGAATGGTCTCACATTGTGTCCATGTTAAAATACTTTCAAAAAATTTGAATATGCAAAGACAAGTAAGCCATCTAAAGGTTAATTTCCCTAAACAGTTTGGGATGGGACTGTTTGTCTGACCAATGGAAGACAGAATGCTCACTTCTCTACAAATAAAAAGTACCTAGAGCAAAAAAGGCTACACATAACAGGAAACTGTGCATTCTGTTCATTTTTGTAACAGTTTTCAGATATAACTAAATAGAAAAATACAGTAAGTTCCTGGTCTAGTAGAGCAAAGGGTTTCAATAAAGCTCGAGGGGAAATCACAGTAACCCTTTAATCTCCCGCTGGCTTTCTCTTGGCCTATATTAATAAAGGCCGTGTCAGCTGTGCTCTTCTTGAAGAATGTATGAATGTGTATTACTGTGCAGCGAGTGTTTGAAAGCTGATCCCGAATGCATTGCAGCAGGACCCCTCCCTCGAGCCCCCCGACATCTTAAAATACAGAGGCCTGGATCTTTGTCATGATGACCTGTGCTCCCTGAGCAGTAGAGCAGATCTGGGACTTAAGGCATTCTCTCTGACTCAGAGGTCTTCCAGGAACACTGGATTTGACTGTACACCCACTGTCAGGCACTGAGCTAGTGGTCGAACAACGTGGATTTTTCAATGGCTGACGAGATATCTAGAGAGAGGAGGTGGTTGATGAATGATATGATAAAATAATACAGAATTTATAAGACAGAAGAACATTTATTTCACTCACTACTTACTCAAAGTTCACTTTAAATTATCTGAAATAGAGCAATATCCACTAATATGACTGAGTTAATACTTTTGTTTATCAGTCAAGCAGGCATGGTTATTGGTCAATTAAAAAAAAAAGATTATTCAATTAATCAGGCTGGCTTGTATATCAGTTATTTGAACGAACAGTGCTATCGTTAATTGGTGTGGAGGCTAGCATAGTTACTGTTATAGTTATTGTTCTTGGTGTGAACGGGCTTTAAGAGTGCCACCCAAGCTTCTGGGTCTGCATTTACTTTATTAGGTTTTTGTCTTTTTACAGTGCCTAGCAGCTCTCTCTGTTCGTGGGCATCTAAAATTAATCAATAACACAAATGAATCGATACAAAAATGCATTCAAATATTAATATTTATTCAGTTTAACACATATTTGTCAATGTTGAACATTCCTCATTTATCCTTAATGTAAATAAGATGCTAAAAGTGTTATTTCTACAGTGATGCTGTCATTCAGTTTAATGGATGACACTGTAGTGTAACAGAGAATTTGCATTACTGTACATCACATGACAAAAACATTACCCTGAGTGATGAAACTTCTACTTCAGCTTATATTGCAGGCAATCAACTGGCCACCTGTATCGAACAGTGAGCTTGGCCAGTAAAGTTAATCACAATTATTTACAACATCTCCTAATTAAAAAAAAAAAATCTAACAATAAAAGTGTTTTTTTGGCATTTCACCGAATGACGTGTTTTTGTAACTTCGGATACCACACCATGAACAGGTGGAATTAACAAATATTCAAGAGCAATAAACTAACAGACTGCTGAATGACTATCAGTTTTTTATATGATTTCAGAATGGCTTCTTGTTCCTGTTACACTGAATGACCTCTGACAAACTGAATTTTCGGGACAAAAGTCCCCTGGTTATTTCATCACTTTAAAAAAACAATAAGACATAGTCTTTTTAATATAACACAGCCAACACTTTTTTGAAAATGCCAAGACAACAAATGTATTTTTTAACTTGGTATTTTATATGTTTATTTAAAGATGTAATGGTAAAATCAAAGTCCGGATCATTACATTGAATGACAATTTTTCACTTTGGAACATTATTTCCGCCATATTTTATATTTTATTTTCACCAAAGTTATTTGAAATATGAAACTTAAAGTACACTCTTTACTTACTTGCATTTAACATGTCTTTTTATGTATATAAAATTACTTTTGTAAACTTAATTTGATGCGGACACCAAAATGGTAACGTCTCATCTTTGACCCATCTACTAATTGTTTCTATTTGCTTATTGCTTGCCAGAAACCAACAGTTACCATCACTTGCCTTCCATGAGAAATGTCTACTCCTGCATGTTGAAATAAACTGGAAAATGGAGTTTGATGACTGAATGAGTTTTAATGGACTCGCCGTTCTGGTTGCAATAACCAAATCAGCCTAAGATTTTCTACACATAGCCTATTTAAAATTAATAAATCATTATAATGTAGCCAAAGGTAAGTTATGAGAAACATAATCAATTAGTTCACCTCCAGAGACCCAAGTCTTTCATTCATTTGTCATTTAATAAACACACAATAAACTAATAGTTCATGAATGACCATCCAATCACAAGAACAAACTGTTTTAAAAGCAACACAGCGATACACTCTACTGGAAGTTCTATTCCGAGAGCACTTAAATTTATAACCATAAAAAAAAATTCTGACTTTCTCAAATTTTCTGCAGTTACACTTCTGCTCTGCTTTACTCTTCTGATTTACTATCGAAACTCAGTATTGAAGTACTGCTAATTTTATCATCCTGTATGTTTCCTCATTTGAAACCTGCCTTGCATAATGTGATTATTTCCTAAAAATTGCTTAAATTACAGTCAGCTCATATGGCTTTAGAAGACTAATATAGCGCACAAGTCGTATGACTACTTTTTGGAGTCCCTGGACATCGTATGCTTTAATTGTATATGAGCAGCAGGAACATTTTTCAAGTTGTCTCCTGTGTTTCACAGACAAAAAGTCATACGGGTTTTGAATGACATGAGTAAATGATGACAAACTTTTCATATGGGAGAACTATTTCTGAATCAGCATGTTTAATTTATACAGCTCTGATCAGACCAGCGCTGATCATTTGTCCGGCAGCTGAGAGATTCCTCAGTGTGTGTGTGTGAGTGAAACATTCGAGCAACTGAGAGGCAAGTTTATACTAATTGATGCAGTTATCCATATTAATACTCCGACATGATCTGACAATGTACAAACGCAAATTCATTCTCTCTTTCCTCTACAACAGCATAGACTTCTATTGATTTCTATACTGTAAAAGAAGGCCTTTTGGATTTTTAGGATAAAAAAAGGACGTTCCCCACTTGTACCCAAATGTTTTGTCAGACTGAGCTATATTTGGGACAAATCTGTCTAAAGTAAACACACACCCACACTTCTGCTGTCTCATGGGAGTGGCAAGCGGATGGGCTTAATTAGTGTGTCTGTGGAGCTTTAACTAACAGGTTAAAGGAGCTTACAATGAGAGAGATTTAGCAGTAGCCTGTATGTGTGTGTGTGTGTGCAAAATTATGACCGAATTCTCCCAAGTATAAGCCAAATGTCACTTCATCTGTGTTTTATAAAGGCCCCTGGTCTTTACTTCTGGTCGACGTGTGCTGGTGTTCAGTTACAGCCCCAAAAATACCCCAGACCACAGCCGTTGGCATTCACACACACCACGGTTTGTCGCACAAGGGGTTTCTGGGGATTAGCTCACAGCTACAGCCTGTCTGCTATTCATAGCCCAATCCACACACTGCTCTATAGCTCTATGAGGACGGACAGGTGTGTGGGTGGAGTGCGGAAGAGGGGTGTGGCTCATGCTTGAACCCCTGCCGGAGCTTTTAAGTGACAGATCGCCTGTCCAATCAGAGCAGAGGTCAGGAGAAGGCTGAGGACACTTCATTTGGGTTTCAAATCTGAGAAAAGGAGGTTGTTGTAACTTTCCACCCATCTCTTGTCCTCCAGGGTCGTTATCACTTCATAGCGACTGCACACTTCTGGAATGTTTATACAGAAAAAAGAATAGGTGACTCAAGAATAACCTGCCTTGATGTTCCAAATTAGTGACAAACATCATCTAATGACAGACAGGTGGATGAGGGAGAAGTGAGGAGTGAGAAAAGAATGCAGAGATGTGTGCCATATGCCACTAAAGGATCATGGTTAACGCTCCTCTACCTGGCTGAGTTTCAGGGGGGAAGAGGAGACTGCGACCTTACATCAAGGCAATCATGCTGATGGCCAGAGTATCATTTAGAAGGAGTGCACCCACACACAAGAATATACACATACAGATACTTTTGAAATGAGTCCAGCTTGCTACAGCCTGTCTGCTATTCATAGCCCAATCCACACACTGCTCTGTAGCTCTATGAGGACGGACAGGTGTGTGGGTGGAGTGCGGAAGAGGGGTGTGGCTCATGCTTGAACCTCTGCCGGAGCTTTTAAGTGACAGATCGCCTGTCCAATCAGAGCAGAGGTCAGGAGAAGGCTGAGGACACTTCATTTGGGTTTCAAATCTGAGAAAAGGAGGTTGTTGTAACTTTCCACCCATCTCTTGTCCTCCAGGGTCGTTATCACTTCATAGCGACTGCACACTTCTGGAATGTTTATACAGAAAAAAGAATAGGTGACTCAAGAATAACCTGCCTTGATGTTCCAAATTAGTGACAAACATCATCTAATGACAGACAGGTGGATGAGGGAGAAGTGAGGAGTGAGAAAAGAATGCAGAGATGTGTGCCATATGCCACTAAAGGATCATGGTTAACGCTCCTCTACCTGGCTGAGTTTCAGGGGGGAAGAGGAGACTGCGACCTTACATCAAGGCAATCATGCTGATGGCCAGAGTATCATTTAGAAGGAGTGCACCCACACACAAGAATATACACATACAGATACTTTTGAAATGAGTCCAGCTTTTTACACTCCTAAAGAGGTAGAGACAGCCATGAAGTACACTAAATGCAACTAAAACAAGTGCTGACAAATAATATTTAGGCCCATTGTAAAGTCTACAGACAAAATCACTCATTCCAAAAATGTATTAAAGGGATCGGTAAAGCCATCTGAGTGCTTAGGACTGCACATGCACATTGGCTGGTCTAGCCTGAAAAAAAACTAAAAAAAATTTTTTTGACGCTATTTGAGCAAAAGAAACAACGTTTATGAGACGGCTGTCTCCAGATTTCAGAATTGGGAATGAGGGGAAGAGTAAATGATGACAAAATCATTTTTGGGTTAACCATTCCTTTAAGTCAGATCACTCAGATTTACATTACCGTTCAAAATTTTGGGTTAAGTTTTTTTTTGTTTTTTTAAGAAATGTAATACTTTTATTCAGCAAGGACAAGCAAACCTGCTGAAAATTGACGGTAAAGACATTTATAATGTTACAACATTTATAAGACAAAAGTTCTTTACAACACTTCTTTTGAACTTTATATCCAAAAAAAAAGATTCCTGAAAAAAAAAGTATCACATTTTACACAAAATTATTAAGCAGCATAACTGCTTTCAACATTTATAATAATAAAAAATGTTTTTTTTTTTTTTTGCATTAAATCAGCATATTTGAATTATTTCTGAAAGATCATGTGACACTGAAGACTGGAGTAATGATGCTGAAAATTCAGCTTTGCATCACAGGAATAAATTACATTTTAAAATATATTCACATAGAAAACAATTAAATTGTAATAAT